TTAATGATCTTAGTGGAGCACAAAGCTGGGATATGCTGCTTTTCATGATTCCTTCGTTAAAAGAGTTAAGTTTGTCATATTGTCAACTTCCCAATGCTTATATTCGACCTTTTCTTAATTCAAGTAGAATACTTCCCAAAATCCAACACCTTGATCTTAGCGACAATTCTTTCAAAGGTCCAATCCCCCACTTCTTTCAAAACCTGACATCCTTGGAATTCCTAGATCTTTCAAACTTTGACATTAGTTTGGCTTGGAACCTTGAAAACTTGCTAAACATGATCCCTTCTTTATCAGAGCTGCATTTGTCAAGGTGTTGGTTTGATGAGACGTTTCTATCATTCCGTCATCTAAATTTCAGTACACATTCTAACATCCAACACCTGGATCTTAGTGACAATTCAATTGAATTCATTTTTCCATATGTTTTAACAAACCTGAGTTCCCTAAGAGTCCTTGACCTCTCAAGAAACATGCTAAATTCATCTGTTCCTGTTATGCCTAGCCTTTTAGAACTCGATCTTTCTTCTAATCAGTTTGAGCACATTGAGCATGTTGGAATCTGGAGATGGTGTCACCTGAAAAAGTTTATCGCTTCAAACAATCCTTTTGGTATAGAAATGATCGACTCACCAACAAATGTATCGGAATGCTCCCAATATGCTTTGGAGAGGTTGGATTTAAGTAGGAATCTGTATGGTACAATTCCAGATGAACTTGGAAGACTGGGGAGTTTAAGAGGCATAAATCTGTCGAATAGCGGATTGACAGGCCCAATCCCCGAATCTCTAGGAAAATTAAGATTTTTAGAAGTCTTAGATCTTTCTGGTAACCAGATAACCGGTCCAATTCCAATATTCCTCGGGAACCTTTCCAAACTTGACCTTTCCTTTAATCAACTGAATGGTTCAATTCCAGAATCCTTTGGAAACTCAGCAGCTTTAAAGGATTTGAATCTAGAATTCAACCGGTTAACAGGCCCCGTTCCAGCATCTCTAGGAAGACTTGGTTCATTAACATCAATTTCGGTGAGTTCAAATTTGTTAAATGGGACTCTTCCGGTTTCAATTGGACAACTTGCCAAACTCCATACTCTACACATCGCTAACAATTCCTTAGAAGGAGTAGTGTCTGAAGCCCATTTTACTAACCTTTCGATGTTGAAGGACTTGGATACTTCTTCTAACACTAAATTGACATTCAATGTTTCACTTGAGTGGGTCCCTCCATTCCAATTGGTAAATCTTCAACTCAGTTCTTGCAATGTCGGAAATGGATTTCCACAGTGGCTTCGAAACCAATGGAAACTTGAGCTGTTAGCGTTGTCAAATGCTACAATTTCAGGACCTCTCCCCAAATGGTTATGGAAGATGAAACTCATTTTTTCCTTAGATCTCTCTCACAACAAACTTAGCGGGCCTTTGACAAATCTTCCTATTGGGCGGAATTTTAGTGAGTTATTTATGGAAAATAACCTTTTGAGTGGGTCGATTCCAATGTCATTGTGCAGATTGAACCATTTGCAATATCTTGATCTTTCTAGGAATAGGTTAATCGGTGAAATTCCAAAGTGTCTTGGGAATCTGCAACATTTGATGGCCATGAGATTTGGCTCAAATCAGTTGTCCGGTGTCGTTCCAAGTGATATGGGTTTTTTATCATTACTTCGGTTAAGTTTGAACGATAATAAATTTATTGGTGAACTACCTCGAGAATTGGGTAATTTAGGAGCTTTAACCATCTTAGATTTAGGTGATAATGAATTCTCTGGAAGTATACCAGAATGGATTGGAGAAAACCTTACGTCTTTGATGGTTTTAAGGTTACATGGGAATAAATTTACCGGTAGAATTCCTCAATCTCTTTGCAAAGCTTCATACCTTCGGATTCTGGATGTTGCATGCAACACCTTAACAGGAACCATCCCTCATTGTTTAGGAGATTTGATGGCTGAGACTTACCCACTCCCTATGTATTGGCATCCTAATCCCATTACCAATTATGACGAGTATGTGATTCAGGCCATGAAAGGTGTTGATATTAAATATACCAAAACTTGGGATCAAGTTTATAATATGGACCTTTCAAGCAATAAACTTGTGGGAGAAATACCAGTCCAACTAACTGCGCTTCATATGTTGATGGGTCTCAATTTGTCTAATAATCATCTAAGTGGGGGAATTCCAGACGACATTGGGAACATGGCACAATTGTTTTCTCTGGATTTATCTAGAAACGAGTTGACCGGGAGGATCCCTCCAAGCATGGCGGGTTTGAACTTTTTGAGCCATTTGAATTTGTCACACAACAATTTTTCGGGACGAATTCCTACAGGAAGTCAACTACAGACTCTTATTGATCCATCCATCTATGATGGGAACAAAGATCTATGTGGACCTCCATTGCCAAAGAGTTGCTCAAATCATCAAAGACCCAACAACTGATGAGCCCACGAAGATCCATCAATACAAAGCAGGTGACGAGTCAACAAAGGTATGGTTGTTTTACCTGGACATTATGTGTGGTTTTGCAGCAGGGTTTTGGGGTATTATTGGCGTTTTGTTGTTCAAGAAGCACTGGAGAATGAAGCTTTTTATGTTTGCTGAGGAAACCATCGGCATGATACATGTTGCAGTTGCAGTAAGAGTTGCCAAGATGAAGAGAGGAAGAGAAGTTGCATAGATTCATTGGGATGCAAGTAATTCTTGGTTATATGTTATCAAAGATTACTTTGCTTTTTAATATTGTTTTCATTCTTATTTATACTACTATTTTGATTTTATAATGTGTACCACATACATTTGTAATAAGAACGTTTTGTAAAGTGTTAGCTGTTTGTTTTTTCAGAGGCCGGACCACATCTGCACACATCTTCAGACCAAACGTCTGCAGTCTGTAAGAAGAAGAATATTTGTTTTTAACATCTGCAGACTCTTAAAATAAATTGAAATTTATATAAATCAATTTTTTTAACTTAAAAAAGTTATTGGTCGGTACACTTTCAAAAAACAAATAGTCTACGAGGGCATATGTCTACGCGTAGTCTGTACGATGCAGACAAAAATGGTCACGTAGATCTACAGACAAAAAATAAACAGCGCCTAGGTTTCAAATATTTTGTTAGATTTTGTATGTATACAAGAGTAATAAGTTGTCAGATTAGATTATTGCGAAATTAATCAATGATTTTGTCAAATCTGCAAGAGGTTATCAAGATACAACATGAACACCATGAGACGCATCAAAGTATGGAATCAATAAACAGAAAACTTAAAGCATTTGAATATAGAAAAAGAAGTAAATGGTTTTGTTCTTGGTTTGGGGGTGTTTCAGTACCATGAACATTTGGTGACCTGTCTTGTTGTTTTGAGTTTTTGTTGAGTGTTCACTCCCTTGATGTTTTAGCATATTGTCTAGCTGCAAGAATTTCATGAGTTTATGAGTTCAACATCGTGATGATGTTCCTTTTTGTTGCTTTTGCTTTAGAGGCGTTAATTGCACATATTTACTTCTTATCATGTTTCTTTTTCAAATGTTCTTACATTTTTACTCTTAATATGTCTTGATCATCAACAACAATACTTTGACCGAAATTCAAAACCCATGTACTATACTAAATGTTGACCATTCGTTTCCTACAATATATGAGAAATATTCACATATGTTTTGTTTGTATCCATTTTCCTAGTTCCTACTCATTAGATCAAGATAAATATCAAAACCAAAAGAAATTATTTTACATGAGTACGAAGATGGGTAGAAACGAAAATTGGAAGGATATTTTATTTTTCATTATATATATATATATATATATATATATATATATATATATATATATATATATATATATATAGAGAGAGAGAGAGAGAGAGAGAGAGAGAAGGGGGGAGGATCATTTGAGAACTAATAGTTTCCTGAGAACCCGAAAACTAAAGGTGGAGCGTTAGTTAAAAAAACTGAAGGTCATGATTAAAGATGACATTTTTGTAAATAAGTTGAAAAACCAAGAAACGGGGGCATCGAGATTAAATGGCATTAAGAGCATTTTAGGGTTATAGAAATTAACTCCATAAACACATCTCCTGATCACCATTCCTCATCAGATCTCACTCTCTTCCTCTCTCTCTCTCCCTCTCACACACACACATACATCTTCATCGTTTCAGATCTGGATCAACAATTGATTCAGTTTTCATGGCCGTTGATCATCAATCGGTGAGCGCTTCCTCGCCTTGTTTCGTCGTCGCTTCAATGGAGGATAACGACCACGTAGACAAATGACCCTAACCCATCGGTCATCGCAAACCTACCACCGCAGCACTACCACCAAATCGGAAGTCGCGGGAAGACAGGAACACTGTTCTGAGCCCTAAGGTCTCGAAATTGTAGGTTTGAGTCTCGTCTCTCTTCTCTCAGCGTATGGAATACTATAATCTATAATTTGTTCTATTATTTTCATCGATTTTGACAATTCATGGGGATACAATGGTCGATATGTCGCCTGATGTAAAGGAAGCGTTTGGAAAATACTCTGATGATCGGATCCATATGAGTTCCGATCAACTGCAACTGTTTATTGAAGAGTTCCAGGGCGACGATGCTGCTTCGATTTCAATATATTTAATCGATTTCCGAGTCTCCATTATCTTATCCAACATAATAAAAATCCATTGAAGATGATTTGACCATGAATTGATCCGTCTGTGACTATCGACAGGTACGTTATCGGTTATCTTCAATTCTTAGTTTTTTCTATTTCTTTTTTCTCTTTTAACTCAAACGGTTTGTGTGTTCTCTTAATACTCTTTCAGGTTCAGGATAGCATCTGTGCATGGTTATACAAAATCAGGTAACTCATTAAAACTGACTTTTTTAACTTGCTAGTGTAATTCATTTATCTTATTTACTGACTTTTGACTAATGTATTGTATTTTCTTCTAAAAAATTTACAGATATTAGAAAAATGTTGTTTACGTCCAAACAAAAACAACAGCCATCACATGACGAATCTGATTTTGAAGACCCAAATCCAGTTCTCAGCCAAAATAAAAGGAAATCACCTCCACGGTCTGACCAATGTACAAAAGGAATATCTATCATCAATTGGATTTGGTCCCCTTTTAAATATAAAAGTAGATGGGTCGGCATCACGAATTGGGTATTATGCAGTCAACAACTTTGACCCTGAACGAATGGTTTTGACTATCGAGCGGGGTGAGATACCAATCACTAGGCAATTGATACATGACATGTTGGGTCTCCCTTTGGGAAATGTCAATATCAATTCATTAAACTTCACACCCGCTCAAGAAAAACCTGTTGATTTGTGGTTTGCACAGTTCAATTCAGAAAATGATATTAGGCCCAAAGGCGTACAAAGGGCGATTAAGATATTAAAAGATGTTGGGTTATTGTTTAAAGTCAATTTTTTGGTGCTCATTCGTAACACTCTTGGACAATCCAAGAGCATGGGCACATGTGATGTATCAATGCTTGCAAAGGTCTTAGAGGATTTAGATTTAAGCGACATAGATTGGTGTTCATATGTGCTAGAGTGTTTGAAAAATACAAAACATGCATGGAATCCTATGAACGATACATCTTACTATGTTGGTCCTATTATCCTCTTGACGGTACTTATCCTACAACCTAACTTAATACATTTGTTCTAATTATTCACTAATGACTTATTCACTAATGATGAAAAATACTTTATCACTATTGTCTTATTCACTAAGTACTTATTCACTAATGATGTATTCATAATTTTTTCATGACATCTAAGTTGGTATACCTTGAACATGTTTCATGTGATGCTGTTACGATTGACCGTGGAAGACCTGCTATATGTTTCTGGGATGTAGAAACCATACGTTTACATGAGGAATATGAAATCAGAAATGGTGGACTTGGTACTGGTGATCTTCAGGAACCTTACATACCACAGGATGACAATGCGGAAAATGTCAATTCGGCGAATGGATCTGTAACATCCCAAAATCTGAGGCCAAAAATTTCACTTTTGATTAGGTGATCTATAAAATGGTTCATCCAAACGTTGCCAAAATCATGTCAATACATAAAACTATAATATCATGTCTCAAAACCAAATCATATGAAATAACAAAATATCAGAGTATAATCCCATAAAACTCTAAGCGGAAATCATATGTGTGCATGTGTGATGCGCTGCTACACCGCCGGCTCCTTCCCCTTAGACGAAGAGGTACCTGAAACCAAAACTGAAACTGTAAGCACGAAGCTTAGTGAGTTCCCCTATCATATCACATACCATACAATCACATAGCATACATACTACCGGGCAATTCTGGGGCGCCCGTCCTACCCATGTCAAGCCATTCTGTGGTGCTGACCTACCCATGTCAAGCCATTCTGGGGTGCTGACCTACCCGCGTCAAGCTATTGTGGGGTGCTGACCTACCCATGTCAAGCTATTCTGGGGTGCTGACCTACCCTCCGGTCTATCTCAACCGAACAGGGGGACTATTTCACCCCCTACTACTAACACATAACATCATATCATAATCATGCTGTCAGACAGATCTGGGGTGTCCGACCTACCCATTGGTCCTAACGACCGAATTGGGGACTAGTCCCCTTCTACTGATACTATCTCATATAACAAGGCAACTAGCAAACTAGCATACTCACATATCTAGTAGTCTAGCATACTCACATATCCAACAATAACAGACCAGGCAATTATCACAAAGATAACCATCCCAACTAACAATTACTAGTGGGCCGGCCTTGGTGCCTTAGACCCACTCCTACTGGAAGGTAACTCACCTCGATGTCGTGTAGTGTCTGAACTGTCCTTGGCGTGAAGGTCGGCTCTCCTCGACTCCTCAATCCCTACACGACAACCTTCAAGTCATCAAATAGAACATACAACCCTAACCAGGGTCAATACCGAAACCAGCCAAAGTCAACATTGGTCAAAGTCAACACCCAGTTGACCCGACTCGCCGAGTTGTTCTACCAAATCGTCGAGTCCATGCTCCACTAACCCGATCCAACCCCGACTTCACTCGTCGAGTCTAGAAAGAACTCGACGGGTTCTCCTTCATTCAAACCATCGGGACCATCTTCATCCGACTCGCCGAGTTCTTCCTTGAACTTGGCGAGTTCATCTCCTTCACAAGAATGTGTCTGATCTACGACTCGCCGAGTTGTATGAACAACTCGTCGAGTCCATCTTTAAAGATTGGGAGATTGCCTTGGACTCGCCGAGCCTGCTCATACACTTGTCGAGTCCCATGATTCCCAGGTCCCTTTTCGCGTCTAAACATCTACGGGACTTTCCTCCCTAACAACTGGTCCATCCACAGAAAGGATTTGGTGGTCAATACACCGCGAATCGCCGAGTCCCAAGAACAACTCAAAACCATAGATCTGGCCCCTTAATGTCCATCCTTGACCAACACTATACAGTCGATTTAGATGAGCCTTAACACCTCAAAACCATAGATCTGGCCCCATAATGTCCATTTCATACGTAAAGCTCCAAACTTGGTGCACATGCATGGGGGCTTTGGCTCAAAAAGCCATAAAAGGTGCTCTACAAGATGCATGGGGCTCTCATGGTCATAAAGTTGGCACCTTTATGCCATGAGACCCTTCCAATGACTCAGATCTGAAGTCAAGACCTCATATAACACTCCACAAATCCGAATATGGCTTGGAAAGCCCTAAATGTGCCCAAAACACAAGTCTAAAGATGAATAAACACATAGAAGACCAAGACAGGGGCATTTTACCTTGATTGTGTTGAAAATGGAACTAGATCTCTTAATCTCTAAGCCCCAACTCGAACTCTCAAGCTTCTTTCTTCTTCTTCAAGCTTCACAAACCACCAAATGTACCAAAATGGCCTTAGAACACACAAAAACGGCTAGGGTTTCGATACACAGCTTTATGGGAGTGATAACGGCGATAGAGGCTGAGATAAGGTGTTTAAATAGGGTGCAAACCCTCAGATTTAGGGTTTCACTCAACCAGCACCTACTCGCCGAGTCAGTCCCCCGACTCGTCGAGTAGGTTACTTAAACTGTCCGCGGGTCACGAAACTACTCGACGAGTTGGACCTCCAACTCGTCAAGTCCCAGAGAAAAACACAAAATACTTGAATAATAGGCATACCAGGAATCAGGTGTTACAGGATCAGTTGAGGTTAGAAAATTTCCGCATTATTTTTTCATATTCATCATTTATTACTAATCTTTCATCATGTTTTTAGGAATACCTTCCACAATTGAAAGTATGTTCAACAAGCTAGTTGCGGATAATCATTTGCTGGACTCAAAACTGTTAGAAGCAAGCGAAAAGCATCCTCTTATTTGTGATTTCTACGAATAGAAAGCCAAGATCAGAATATTCTTTAATGAAGCATCCGCGAAATATGAAGCAGGCAGTTGTTCTAATGATCCCAACCATATTGAACCTTTATCCTAATGGTGGTCAGACAACTCAGAACAAATTAACAGGTCTTGTCAAATGGCAGGACATTCTGTTAAATCGTTCCACAATTCACCCTTTCCAAACTGGAGCATCGGGATGACACAAGAGTTTGCTGATATCATTATCAATTCACCATTGAAAGATATCATGAAAACCCCGAAAGACCAATGTCCAAGTCCTCTTCCATTATCAATTGTTCCTATTCACAGTCATGACGGTGCTGCCAATGCAAGAGAGTTAAGGCCAAGAAATAAGCCCCCTGTACTACGTTCTCTGTTCATTGTACGGGCAGTAGATATAACCAAACGTATATCACGTGCTTACAACGACCTATCTGAATGGGCTTTCTCAACACAAGGTCATCCAAGGTATATAGAAATTTCTACATAACTGATACAAAAAAATTATCTATGTAAAGTTCATTTAACTTTTGACACGTTCTTTTATGTAGTGACGAACTGTTTCGGACATGTGTTGGTGTAGCTGTTGAACGCTTTCACATGGAAAGCTTTTTCCCCAAATGTGAACTGTTTGGAAACATACGGGATTGTTGGAGTCATATGTTAAATTTCAATAAAGATTTGCGTTCCAATCTATCTCCTCGCAGACTATTTGCCACTACCACGTTGACGGCACAATCTCAATAAACCCTAGCATTCATTAATTATGGCATGATACAATAATTTATGCTTGCACATTCATGAGTCCACATTTTCATATTATACCTTTGAATTCATCTTCCTAATACACTACTCATATTCATTATTAACAACCTTTGTACTTACTTTCTATATCTTCTTCACAGAGTTTGTATCTCGAAAATAATGCGTTGACAGAGGAAGATCGTCAAAAAATATTTTTAGAAAATTTGAGCCTTTCCATTGACGATTTTGATGCAACACTGTGTGATGTTCAATTAGTATGCTTCTATATCCTCTTTATATAATTACTTAGTGATTTTAATACTTTAGGAAATATTGATGTAAGCTGTAGTTAGTGCATTAACAATACAACACTAATTTTTTTTTTTAACCATATCCTTAATATTTGTTTCAGCTATTCCTACCAGTCGTCCGTGAATTTCATATTTTCCTTTTCGTAATCGACTTTCAACAACCTGCATTGGATCATTGACAACATAAAAAGAGATGAAGACACCCAGGACACATATGGTCTACTATCAGATCTCATTGTAAGATACAAATACAAATCGCTATTATTTTTATATATAAATGTATCCCTTTTTAACATATAATCCTATATCATTTCCAGCATTCATACATGAGTGACTATTTGTTGTCTGTTCGCCATGCAAATGCTGAAGCCTTTTCACATGTCCCAAGACAAATCCCCCAACTATCTTGGGCAACAGTAAAAAATAGCATTGACTGTGGTATTTTTACTATGCGTCACATGGAAACGTTCATGGGTGGAAACATCAGAGATTTCAAAACTGGATTCAAGTTAGAGTCGATTGCACAAGACAACCAATTATCTAGACTAAGGGTTATATATTTGTGCAAAATAATTAATTCTGACTACAACCTGCTAAAGAATTCAATCCTTCATCAGGTCGTAGAATTTCAAAAGCTTCCTGCATCTAACCGACAACAAATATTGAAAGATGCTGCAACCAGGATCCATGACAGATTGACTAAATTTGGTTAAAGAATGTTGTATTAACAAGTCTTTTTTGTTTAAGTTCTGGGAAGATCAATAGTTTATTTACTTTTAGACTAGTATAAAGATGGAACAATGCAACTTATCTGTCTCTATTTTGCTTTTTGATTATGTACCTTCCTTTTGTCTTTATATTATATGAAAATGTCTTTTATTATTCTAAAATGATTGTATCTTGTGGTTATTGTTAATCGAAACTGATATCTTAGAGTTTTGTTGATGGGTTTTATATTACATACCCAAAATGTTACCACATGTTGGATTAATGTTTTAGACTTTTACATAATAGGATAAGCGGGTGGTACGCTTTTAAAAATTGTGATTAAATTAGTTACAACCCAACTTAAGTTTGTCATAAAAACATCATAAATGATGTGCATAACCAACTAATACATCACTACACATGTACCATGTATAGCCTTATCCTTTTTTATTTTACTCCACTAAACTAGCAATAGCTTTAACATTTTCTAAAATCACATACCCAATCAAAACAAACATTACAAGGATCAAACCATATCATCATGTATGATACACGTACATAATCAACACATGCATCACCATCTCATAAAATATCATGGATGTATACAATCGACACAAACATCACCAGCATCATACTATCTCTAATAGATTCAACCAAAACTTATGCGCTAAAAACTAATTCAACATAAATGAAACAAACTTATATTATTCAACTGAAAAAAATCCAATGCAGAAGCTGAAACATAATTCACACCATAAATACTAAATTATTAATGATAAACAAGACATCAATAAACTAACACTTATCCTAAATACAATTGGAATTCTCGCGCAATTCTTACTTTGCAAGTCCTCCAATTATGATTCACATATAAGTTGCATCCTGTGCACTTTCGTGAACCACATTTTGAAGATGCAGATGCCTTCTCCGCTGCACTAACCATCTGTTTCTTAGTACCACTCCCTTTATTATGTATCACTGGGGGACATTAATTTCTATGTGGTCTGGAATACTAACCCCAAATAGTCTAAACACAGCTTCATCATTTTCATCCAATCCAATAGTATTAACCGGATCTTGCTCAAAAACCCTCCTCGTCGTGCGTGTGTTCTTTACAAAATCTTTTAAGTTTTCCTTATCATTCTGAACACGCTCCAGACAGTACTCTATGTTACTATATGCTACGGTTAACAATTTAAAAGTTTCATCTTCCATTTCAGCAAGCCCATTCTTACTGACCAACAAATGGCTAGAAATAATATCCCTTCTTGAAAGACCCAAACTTTCATATATAACATTGTTACTTCAAAACATGCTACATGCATATTCATAAATAATATTTTACATTGATAGTGTGATTACAAAAGAATGGATACAAACCGACTATTTAGACTATTACAAAGTAATATATATTACATAACTACCCAGGATATTATAGTTTTATACATACATGAGTACTAAATACAAAAGTAATAGTTTTAACTATTCAAAATCTTCTATCAGTATATGACTATACTGGATGCTTATCACCTGCAATAGTTAAACACTGAGAGGGGTAAGCGGTGACGCTTAGTGAGTTCAATAATATATACAATATAACGTTATGCCATATATATACTTCAATATGGCAGAAGCAAAGAGGAACAACAAAGGCATATGTGAATCATGTGACAAGCTTTCCATATCAATCGATGATTTGATTCAAAGATATACAATCAATGAGACATAACAATTTCAATACTTGATAAACATCAATAAAGCTTCAGCCCAAATGGCACAGAAGACATACACTTTCTGATTAAAACATTTTGGTAGATTTCAGGCTTTTAGCCCTATCTAACCTTCTGCAAATGCCATAAGGGTAGAAGTCATTCTCTTACGAGACATGCTCTACAAGGCCAGAGGCTACATACCAATACCACTGTGAATCTAATTCCTTTAACTGATCACATGGTCAAAGGTACAGCTTTGCTACCATAATAGCACGAAACAATAACACGGGATAATAACACGGAAAAGCACTTAGCACATATAACACATAACATACAATTGTTCATATATATTGAACTCACCGTGAAATAATCGAGTGATAAAATGCTGATTTGGGCAGCATTTCGTTTCTATATATGACTTTCTTTGACGAAACCGGGGATTTTAGTTGAAAACTGGGCCTTGCACGGTCAGAGTTTCAGCTTGTAAAGATTATTTTCTCAGGTCTTCGGTGCGTCGGGACTTGCTTCGGGTGTCGGGGATGATTCCTAGGCTTCGGGGGGTGTTAGGGTAAATTTAGAGATGAAAGAGGGTGTGAAAGTGTCAAAATTGTAACCTAAACCCGGAAGCCTTCGGTTTCTATTTATAGTACCTGAGGCTCAGCATTACGCTGGGCGTAATTCTTTAGTACGTGGGGCGTACTGCCTCGCGAACTTCTTCGTTGGGCGTACGAAGTGGATCAGATCGGACGCGTCAAGCCTACGACACGTGGCACTCATGTGAAGGGGTAGGTAGGGTGATGGTCTCCAGAGTACTTACACGAGTACACTGGGCGTACTTCGGTACGTTGGGCGTACACCTTCGGACCAGCCTCGAAATTTGTGCCTAAAACTTCAAAAATTCGTAACTTTCGCATACGAACTCCGTTTTTGACGTTCTTTACATCCAAGCGTAGGTGAAATTACGCTCTACAACTTTCGTTTAGACTCCGTCGGCTAATTTTGAATTCATTTTTAATATTATATTTTAGGCCATGACAGGAAAAGTCCGTTAAAAATTCATAACTTCTTCATCTGACGTCCGTTTTCGTCTGTCTTTTTACCGTTGTACTACTATTGACGAGATCTTCGATTCTCGTTTAGGTTGTGTCGGCTAAAAATCACTCGATCTTTATTTCGAGTTTTTAGCTGTCTACTACTATACCGAATCTTAGAAAAACCATAACTTCTTCATACGAAGTTAGATTTGGACGTTCTTTTTATGAAAATCCTCGGTTTAACGAATACTATGACTTTCATTTAGATCATAAAGGCTAAAAAGTAGTTTATCGAAAACTCTTTTTTTTACGTCATACGGCGTCGTGCCGGTTCTGTCGCGAAACTTCAATAAGTCATAACTTCTTCGTTATAACTCGGATTTCGATGAGGTTTTCGCCTAAATGTTTCTAACGAGATTCTTTACATCTTTCAATAATAAAATTTTACTCATTTTTAGCTTTATATTTTTGTTAATTTCAATAGCTGACATTTGATTGGAATCTCATAAGATTTCCCTGCAGTTTCTGAACGATTCTAAACATAGTTTTACTTCAATTCTAGTAAAAATTATTTGTTAGAACTCAACGATCAAAATCACATAATATTTCATAATATTATTCACTTTTAAATTACAAAACACGATAACTGAACATGTATGTTACACTTCTCCACCCCCGCAGAATATATTGCTCCGGTATCTCCTCAATATGATTATTCTTCAGAACTGCAAACACATGTCGACACAAAATACCCATTCGCTTGAAGATTTCGCATGTACATTTTAATTCCTTTTCTGGCAACTTCAGTTCCACCTACAACAAAATTTTAATTCATACATTAGACACATTTTTTTTAAATTTGTTTGTTTACATTCTTATTAACATTACGGCTGCTTGTACATTCAGGTGAATCTAATGAACTAACCTTACAATTTGTCTTCAATTGTCTTCTTTTGTCCAAATGTGTAATCATAACTACCTGCCACCCATTAATATTTTCTACGCTATCAATTGAACAGTTCCAAGCTCCTTTGTATATCTCCTTTCGAATTTATGCAAAAACTGTATTTGTATACATTTTTGCTGCATGTTGCTCTAATCATGTGCTCATCCCAAGTTTATGCTTTGTTCTCTTAGTTTCATTATCAAGACAACGTTGCGTCTTACGTTGTTTTCTAATCGTTGTGTCATAGTTAACCATGAAATACAAAAGGAAATTCCCATGATGCGCGTACTTA